GAACCGCGTCCGCGGGAGCTATGTACTCGTGACAGTGCAGCAAGAGCAGGATCGATGCATCTCTGAGTGAAAGACGAATCGAGTACGATTTCTGATGGAAAATTCGACGAAAAAATAATTTTGAATCAAAATAAAATCTCTGATGATGAAAGAGTACAAATAAGTTATTTATCTTATTTAAGTACATATTTTTATTGAAACTACCATCATCATTTACATCATCAGTGCAACCATAATGATTGAATTTTCTGATGCCACATATGGGAAAAAATTTTTAATTTAATTAAACTTCGATTAAATTAATCAAATTAACTACATTTATCAAAATCTTATTCTTGTAGATAAACGTAAAAAGTATCATTTTTATTACACAAAAGCCATTTCTTTTTCTTGCTGCAATTATAAATGTCACTGAAATTAGTTATTAATTATAATATAAGATATTGAAAATATATTATAATTTTATATAATATAATCGTATTTCATATTATATACATATATGTATATAATAATTATTTTACTACTGGGAATACGTTGCGATGCTTTTCCATCACAACGTGAAGCATTCGGGTCATTCGGTAACGCGCCAACATTCCGGCGACCGACGCAAAAAGGACTAAAAACGAAGGTGAAGTTCCTGCGGGAGCTGGGATCGAGTAATCAGTTTTAATTAAGCGTACCTTTCGCCCGGGAGTTAACGAGGGTAGTTACTCGTTAGTCCGAGATACCGTGCGATTCGCCGACCCTAAAAAAAAGTCGCACGAGATCCGATCTCGGCTCGGCAGCGAAACGAAGGTTACATGCGGATAATTAATTTTGTAAGTATTTCATAATAATCGCTTAAAATACAATAATGATTCATGCTTTATATTTTATATCACTGTATCCCAAAAATTAGTGCGTTACAAATTGCTAAACGAGAAAAAAATATGGAAAATTTTATTTATAAATTTTTAATTAATTTATAGAGACATTTATAGAGAAAATTTATTTTTTATTAAAATTAATTGTATCTAAAATTATATAAAAATATATATGTAAAGTACTGACTTATCTCCATTATATCTCTATATCCGTTAACGACATAAAACAAAATTCGCTACGATATCTACCGCACACCACCTTTCATTGTGATACGAAAGATATATTCATATGACTGGTACAGTGTAATTTTTTGAGGGGTAAACTACAGAAGAGGATGAAACAGTAGGACAAAAAAAGAAAGAGAGACAGAATGGTTGCTTTAAGTACAGATAATAGGTGGTGTTTACCGCCGCGATGATCGGCACTATTTAATGGTGGCTCGGCATGAAGAGGCCGATGGGACCCCAAATAAATTAAATTATCATGATAAAAGCCCCCTCCCGTTCCCTCGTTCGATATAAGAGCGCGAATGGTGATTGTCCACTCGATAAAGTCGCCCTTCTCATGTTTACCGACATCTGTCACAGTTTGCGCATTTTCCCGATTCTGATCGACGCGCAGTGTGGCAAATGATCAATTTAGGGGGACACGGAGCATTCTCCGCGTGTCAATGAAATTAGGCCAATTCAATCGCAAATGTATCGTAAAGGATTAGAGAAATTAATTATGAAAATAAATGCTCTGAATATTTATATAAAATTAGCGTAATCACCAAAGGTAATCACCAAAGGAGTTTTAGAATCGTTTAGCATGAAATACTTTCGAAGTATCATAAAGTAAAATTTCCCTTTTACTATTATTCATCTCCAAAATTAAAATTAATGGTTACACTAATTGTTCATAAATATTCAAAACATTTATTTTTATAATTAATTTCCGTGCGGATTTGTAACATATATAATTAATTCCTATAGATTTGATTCTATATTATCGCTAAGAACGAAATACCTTTGAAATACCATGAATTTTTTTTTTACTATTACTCATCTCCAAAATTAAAATTAATGGTTACGCCAATTGTTCGTAAATATTCAGAACATTTATTTTTATAATTAATTTGTATAGATTTGATTCTAGACAAGATACATATTTTAATTTTTCTGCTCTTTTTGCCGCTTCAATGAACATATCGATATTTGTCATACGTATCATTTCACTTTTCGATTATTTTTATCGACTTTGTGATTGTACGGTACATAGCGTTTATTTTTGGACGATAGGGGGGGACTGTTTGCAGTTAGTTAGCGCAATAGTTAACGCGACGACCCTATGATAGAAGGGTATGTACCGTATGTCAGTTGCCAACCCTCGGTCGCAGCAGACGAATTTCTTTGGTGTGGCTGTAACGTCGACTAACGCGCCAATGAATAATTATCGCGATGAATTGTCCAATTTGGCGACAAAGGATTCGATAATTTATGACAGCTATTTATCTGACCGCTCTTCTTTAAACTTTCAAGGATAACGAGACCCATTCTTAGATGTCGAAAATATCGATCGTGTCTTTAGCGAATTAAATAAAATATTACTAACACTTTCATGAAGTGTTCTACTAACAATCAATTTTCAAAATTTCAACATAATTAATAAATTTTTAATTCAAAAAGTTCTAAAGTTCTTATAATATATGTATCTTCAAGGAGAATCGTAATAATTACAAATGTAAACTACAAAAATTCCAAAATAACTTCTTTAACTATAATCGATTTGCATTCGTATCCTTTAATCTTAATTCCGCTATAAAAGTCGTTTTGATTGCTGTTATTGTCATTACTGATACATTATCATTATCAAGAAATTAATTATCAAGAAAATACTCTGAAGAATAGAAGCTTATCTCAATTCAGTCCTCTCGACTTTTTGGTCACGTTGACTAAAAATGATTGCAGATTAAAATTTTATGATTGATCGTGGAATTAATATTCGTGGAATTAATACTCGCGTATCAATCAGCGTAATGAAATTAAGTAACTGCGAAATAACTTTATCTTGAAGATTAACAAAGCGCGATAGACAGACTATTGTACGTTGAAAAATTCGGTAATTTATAATACCGTATAATATGCAAGCGTGTCAAGAGAATCTAATAGGCACCACGGTGCATCCGAACGATGAAATTGAAAAAAGGGCATAAAAATAAATCATGACGGGACGAGCGAGGCAATGGCGCAAATAATAATTGTCACGAATCAGCGGGAAGGGAAATCATCGGTCACAGGCCATATGTGCCCAATAGGGGAGGGGAAATCCAACTCCACTTTGTCCAACGATAAATGTCCGAATAAATGTGCTACAGTCTAAATACTAACAACTATCAAATGTAGTCTCTCGTCCCTCACGCTTGACGCTTACTCTCATGAACAATGCTCTGTGCGCATTTTTTAACCATTTTATAACCATTACTACGTAAGAACGCTTTATATTTTTACACTTTATAAAAAGAAAATGAAAAATCAAACTTATATATAGACAGGGGAATTTAATAAAATCATTTCGTTATTCGAACAGATCTTGATATAGAGATTACAGTTTAATCATTTCTATAATTTTCATTATCTTACTCACTATTGATATTTTCTATTAATCTCTTTCATGTCGTAATTGATTAAAATTAGTTTCGTAAATGAGCATAAAACATATTTCTAAATGTTTCCAAAATATATTATTATTACTCTTTTAACACTTTTCTAATACTCGCAAAGATTATTCCTTTCTTAATACCCGTGTTTTGTGTGTGTTAAATTCACGAGAATTCCCCTCTGTGTAAGAGACCGATAATACGGCGTCGAGATATCGCGAAACTGTCGCTTATTTGTGTACCGGGCGTGAAATCGCGCGCCCTATATCGAAAATACGCGGTTCTCTCTTTTGAGGGAGAGCGACAACGTGCGTGCGTACCTGCTCGTACGTAGCTTAGTGAATCACGCGTCGACCGGTAATCCGAATGCGCTCGACTAAACGCCCGCCATGTGTACAAACACTGACAGCCGGTCACGCACTTGCTAGTTAAGTTACGAGGGTGCTTAAGCCAGTGACGCAAGGCCCACCCCGCCGCCTAATCGTGGAAACCCGGTGGACATAGCGCTCGGCAATAACAAAAACACGTGACATCGTGGCATCGTGACAAAAATAACGGCATTTCTCATATACACGTCGAAATTCGAAAAGCACCAAGTGATGCCTTTCATATATAAATTGAACATTTTTACAAGTTCAGAAATTGTATTTTAATGATTTTACATCTCGCATGTCACATTGATACTATTTCATTCAATCGCTTCTATCTATTTTATAAAGTTCACACTTATTTCTAAATTTTATAAATAATTCGCTTTATGTTAAAAAGACAATTATAATAATTGTTAATTTCGTCATGATTTAAATTATTAAAAAAGAATATCATTTCCAAGGAAAACATATCTTAACGGACTCCGCATCTATTGTTAATGAACAATACAAAACCATATTTGAAACATAACTCTGGATGATGGATAAATTGTTGACACATAGGCGTATATATCGTGTGGTACAATGTAAACGCATATCTCCATTACACACTGATCGATTGCAATATTGTCATGATTATACGGGCGATAATTTCATCAGATTCCATGGTGTCCTACGCCTATGGTGTTATAAGTTGGTGATTCTCCCTTGACCAAGAGTCATTCACGAGGCTAATTGCAGGGGCGGCTTCCCACCCCTATCGTCTAACCCCAAATCATCCCCCGTAATCCATAGGGATTTACACTCGCGATAATTGCATTAGCATTCGATGATTTTTATTGGATCGCGCGGCTCGCAATAATGAATCATTTTCGCTCTTCGGATTGTTTCACCGGACTAAAATCGGATTCAATTTGTGATTTTTATCGAATGCAAATAAATTTAATAAAGCAATTATTTTTAAATTGAAAGTTTTTCATTTTGTGTGTACAAAAATCAATACGGCATACAAAAATGGTGTGTGTGTGTGTGTGTGTGTGTGTGTGTGTGTGTGTATGTGTGCGCGCGTTTAAATTAATTATATTATCATTTACATAATTTAAGTTGCAAAATATTTCTTTTTGTAACAGGTTGCGCGGCACAACACGCATTGCTGGGCAAAACAAGAAGGCCCAGGACCGCCTTTACATCTCAGCAGCTTCTCGAATTGGAGAAGCAATTTCGACAGAATAAGTACCTCAGTAGACCGAAGAGGTTTGAGGTCGCGACGTCGCTGATGCTCACAGAAACGCAGGTAAATCGAGATAATAATGTTGAATCGCGCATTACCTTCCTCGATACCCCAAATTCAATGATGGCCCTGAGCCCGTGAATCACCTCTCGATAAGTATCGCGATTAGCAATTTTCATTACTCACGTCTGAACAGGGAGAAGAAACATAACGTGAATCACTTGTAATTCAAAATCCATGATAAAACCTTATGCAATAAAACGGCTTATCGACACCATTTCTATAGAGATCGCAAAGGAAAGCCATTGCGCAACCTGATATAACGTAATTTCGATACAACGTTACAATCTGATATACGATTTTAATTTTATATCCACTTGGTGTTATAACAGCTATCACCAAAACTAGTACGCGAAGTCGTAAGAAGCTGAGGAAAAAAAGAGAAAATTAAATCCATATAATCCGTTTCTTTTCTCGGAATATCGGAGAGTGTCTTTGCATAATTACATATTCGACAGATACGGAATCGCTTGCGAAAAATCGTTGAAGAAATCGAATCGGTTATTTCCCCGGAAGGGCGGGAGTTAGGAGTCGAGTTGACGTTAAGTTAGCGTCGAGAGCCGCCTGACGAGGAGTTGAGCGACGTCGACCGGTAAATAGCGCGGAAATGGAAATTCGCGAGGTCACGGGAGCGCGAGCGCGGCGTGGAGGGGCGGGGGGGAGGGGGAAAAGAAGACCCTCGAAAGAGAGAAAATCCCTCCGAATAATCCAGCCCGCCCTTCCTCCATCCAGGCGCCGTGTGCACGCGAATCCTCTCTCGCATAGTTCAACAACTTAAACATAACTCTGAAGCTTACGAGCCCTGACGGATCGCTCGGCAAACAGACGTGAAAGTCTGAGTTATGGCGGGCTCAGTCGCTGATTTGTTTCGATATTTTACCGATTCCGCCTCGCTCCTCGCCTCTACCTCGGCCTTCCTCGTCCTTCTTCCTTTCCCGGTCCTGTTACCCATTTCACGTCTGAGTTCCGCGCTCGCAGAAACGCGATTACCGGCGATTTACCGTCCAAGCGCGAGCATCACAACGAAACGCGTCGCGACGCCCGACGAAGAATGCTTATTTAAAAAGGACGAAAATTGCACGCTACCAATAAATCTCTTTACGTATCAATTTTATTATTATCTCGAATCGATCGATTCTTCGGAGACCTAAAAGTTCCACGAATTTCTAAAAATTATCATGCAAAAGTGTTATATTGGTATTACCGTTATCACTTCATACAGAAATTCGCGAAATATTCTACTTCGACCATTTCTTATGAAATTAGTACATTTTTCGATGCATTTTATATTCTTTTATGTCTCCTACACGATTGCTTTCTTTTGGATTCTTATCAAATCTACTCGACTTGCAACATTATTGCGACGATGACAATATCCTCGTTCGAATTAATTAGATTTGGATATTCGCAGTCGAATAGTCACGAAATTGCAATTCGTAATTGTAATTTTCGTAATAACACGTGCAAGATTTACGTAACAATTCTGTGAGAAAATACAATATCTTCAATATTTATCGCGATTACGATCGAGATAGTTCTCTCGGCATCTTATGATTCATCATCGTTTGGTTTCTCATGTACAAAATGTCGATTAATTTCGGTTCGCGAAATAATTTACAGCGCGATTTATTTCTTCTCTTTTTCACTCGCTTGCTCGCTCTTTATCGTTCGTCAGTTTATCTGCAACAAATATTTATTTTCGCGGGCGTCACTTTTTTTCCCTATCTTCGATCCATTTTTTTCGACGGACTCGCTCGTGCCTATAGCTCTCACCTTCTCTGATTTTCTGCCCCCCCCCCCCCTCCTGATTCAAGCCCGTACTTGTTTACCTCGCGCTCCGAATTATTTGTTAACGCGACACGAATGATTTACGTAAGTCCTGTCGTAACGTTTCGTCTATCAAATCATTCAGCTGATCGGAAAACGATGGTGTCCGCTGCTTTTCATAACGCAAAACATTAAAAAGAGAAATAAATATTTTATCATCGTAAACAGACTTTTAATCTTCAAACTATTTTACGTTACAATGTTTAATTAATTTCTTGTTTTTTCTTCGTGAATTTGAAATTTTATAAACATTCTATTTTCGAAATTTCAACTTATAACATTATAATTTTGAAAAACAACAGGTCATTAATAATAAAATCGTAACATGTTATATCGTCACTGATACGTACTTTACGGAGATTAGAATTTTACAATTACTTGTTCTTGATCTTGTTACACACAAGATTCTTTGGATTCCAAGAATTCGGCGAAACATTCACAGATTCTCCCATTCATATTCGTACGAGAAAGCTGCGCTCCTACACGGAGGGTAAAGATATAATACGATCGTGTCTGGAGGGGATTGGCCCGGGCACATGATATGTTGTCCGAAAGATTTACATCGTTTTCTTACGATTGGGGAGGAAAAATCGAGTCCCTGTATCTGTCTACCTGATTTACTGCGTCTCGCGGGGTGGCTCACGTGACGTTGCCCGCGCTTATGGAGCACGCATTCGCCGAATTAAATCGGGCATAGATCGAAGACACTCGACAAATCATCAGTTCTCATAATTAGTACTTGCGATTCAAAATCAAACTAGAACATTTTTTAATTCACAAACATATCTACGAATGAATTTTTATCATTTTTTATCATTTTTATATCTGAAATGTGCGAAATATTTAAAAGATATCAATTCATTCTTTAATTTTAATATTTATTAAATATAATTTGTGATAAAATGATTAAGAATTGATTGCAAAAATAAATGATTTTGCAATAAGATAATTTGCATTAAAATATGTTGTAATTGTAAATATAAAATCTTTTTTCTTTTGAATAATATTTTGTTTAAAATCTAAAATTAAATACAAGGCAAATAGGAAACTCAGCCGAAGTATTTTGTCACACCTCGCACATGATAGTCATTAGTTTCACGAAGTCGCTTATTGGTTACATAATTTCTTTAACGTCGCAAAATAAAATTTTGAAGAAATTCATGCGGTATCGATACACTCTTATTGTAGGTGAAGATCTGGTTTCAAAATCGTCGAATGAAATGGAAACGCAGCAAAAAGGCACAGCAGGAAGCGCGCGCGAGTGGAAAAGTCGAGGAAGCCGGAAGCACGAGGAGTGCCGAGCGGGACACTGGAAGTGACGTCAGTGTGAATGCACCTGGAACACCAGAGGAATCTAGAGGAACGCTTCAGGAAAGTCAAAGAACTGGAACGGATCTCCAGGAACCTTTATATCGGCCTTATGTGGTCTAAAAAACCAATAAAGACATTTAAATCTTGAGGGATCAACATTTTTCAAAGGGTTGCAAGTGCGCACACATACATTTTTATTGCTCATTTGATTTTATATATAAATATTTCTGAATAGATAAATTAAAGTATTTCTTGTTTAAATTTTATTAATTTTGTTATAAACAAAATAAAAGAAATATTTCTTTTGAGAAGAGAAAATATATTGTTGATCCCTTAAAAATCGGTTAAAAAAATATGAATTGCCATCAAATTGTGATGCTTCTTGGAAGATTAAGTTCAGAAGAACGATTATTTCAAAATCAAATGCGATTCGATTAATAGAACTAAGTTTCAGTAAGTTTCGAGTTAATTCGACTGCATAATTGTTCCTGTATAGATGATACTTTTATAGTAAAAGACAAATATTCCGCTTTATTATCGATTACGATATAATTTTAATAGTTAAATGTGACAATAAAGATTGTCATGACTTATTATCAGAGCCAAAAATCGACATGATCTCGACTTTTCTTCGGTAAAGTGCGACTTGCGCCAATTATCGCACGTCTATTGTTACGAATAAACCGTGACAATTATTTTCCTGCGCATCAAAATTACATCGGTTTTGATGAATTTCGATCTCATCATGTCATTGAATGCAGTTTTCTACTAAAAACAGCCGATCTCGTGTATATATCTCATTTCTATAATTGACTATACCAAAAATTCTTCTGATGTGTAAATAAGTGCGAACGAGATGATATTCATGATCACCATCATTAACGATACCTCGCTTGTTAATCACAGTTATTATTATAGATACACGAGCGTCACTGCTGAAAGAAGTGTCTTGCTCAAACCAAACAAGATATTGATTTTATAATCGAATTATGTTTTCATTGCCTGTGGACAATGCGAGTAAATCGCATTTGAAATATGTAACAACTAGAAGATTTGTACGCTGTGACTTGTGTGACTTAACGATACGTGACAGTAAAAAAAATCTATCCTCGAGATCTATGAAGCTTCGAGACGGATGTCGTTTGATTTAAATACGTCGTGTATATAGAGATCCTAAAGACTATTTATTCTGTGTTCGCTCGGCTTGTAAAATAGATTGACGCAGACCAACGCTGAAAAATCACGACGTTGTTAATATAAACGGTGTAAAGAGAAAACAAGATGGTAGGATCGTTCCTGTCCAGAGGGTGTAGGCGTTACTCGAGTATTGTCCTATACGAATGCGCGCACGAGCGAGGAGCGTGTATTTACGGCATACGATGTGAATGTAAATATTATCCGCATAGGCTAGCGAATGCGATGCAGATACACGGTATGATAATATCGCGAGAAGTTCCTAAATAAATTATGAAATCGAGCAAACTCGCTGCGTCCTTCTTTCCCCATGAATATCATTTTCCTCTAATAGGCGTTCAACGCTATTATAAATTTAAGTATATTTATTCACCCTGCGTGCATGTTATCGAATGAAACACACTCAATCTGAGGATATTAATTATTTAACAGAATTATACGATTTATATTAGAAATTATTTTGTCGATGATTTCTAAAAGGAACAGCTTTTTGGCATCAGCAATTTTATAAAATTAAATTCCTCCCAATTACTCTGTCAATTATATTTTCTTTTTAAATGGATAAATATATCACAATTATCTAAAAATATTTATGTATATTTTCTAAATTATATCATATGTTGTTTAATTTGACATAAAAGTTATTCAAAAAATATTTTAAGTAATTTACTTGAATGTTATATAATAAATTAATTTTCTTTTACATATTATTTTTATATAATAAAAATGCTAAGTTAAATCCGTTACAATATATCAGATTTTACTTTACATTTCAAACAATAAATGCGCTCAGATCCACTTGTATTCAGCCGCATGTGCGAGAGAGCCGGGTCTCATGTTATTTGCATGATGGCCGCTGATTGGTATATGGCTTGTAAATGAGAAGCTTCATCCCCCGGTGGGTAACCACCCCCGGACGAGCTTGACTGGTGGGTGCTCGATGGAGAACCGGATGGCGTGTTTCGAAAGGCACCCGAAGGAATAGCGCCGTGCCGCGCTATGCCATCAGTATTTATGACATGCTAATCCCCAGTTACGAATTCCGCGACATTCCGCGGGATCCGGCGGCGGAGAGCCGCTCATTCGGAAAACGTCATCACTCGGTGGAACGGCGCAAGAACGAGGTAAAGTCGTATTTGACGAATGCGGATCGATGTCACTACTTGCTGCGTTCCGTTTTCCCGCGCTGCCATCTCATTTTTCCGAAGTCGAAAGCCATCGCACAGAAAACGAA